TCAACAATCTTACCTCCTTCGTAAACACACATGTCCTCAGTAACAAATTGGCCACTATGGTGTATTTTAATATTGAGATATTCATCCATTTCAGACTAGGTCCTAAATGAACAGGAAGACATTTGATTTCAGAAACATTGATTTCAAAAAACCCTAACTACGAAAATCATAGTTTTGCAGAAACTTACCTATGATGAACAGTGTTGTGGTCGATTTCACCTTCGCTTCGATTGTAATGTTGTGGTCGGATTGTGCCTTCGCTTCGCTCGCAGCTTGTTCGCAGATTGGAGCTACCAACAGTGGTTGCCCAAGGATTACCTTCTAAGTGTTAGAGATGTAATCTGATCCTTTAACACATACAATGCTATAACATTTTTTTTTAAATACTTTAATCCACATGGACGAAAATGTATACACGTGCAATGCCACATATATGCCACATAAGCTCTACAATTGACTTTGACTAACGGTTCAGACGAAAAGGATAAACGTGGTTCTTTTTGAATAATTAAAAGACCACTTTAGAACTTTTTAGAGATAAAGGACCTGAATGGATCCAGAGGTAAAGTTAAGGGAATAAAAAGGGTATTTTCTCAATAATAAATGAAACCATGGGTCCCCCTTTTTATAGGTAGCTCACATCCCACGAGGTTTATCACGAAAAGTCATCATTGGATTGGGCCTTTTGGACTCCCCATGAAAAGATGGCACCCCAAAGCAACAACCACGTGGCACAACAATCAGCCACATATTCATTCTCAAGAGACGAACACGTCCCCGACTTCAACACGAAATGTCATACACGAGCATGATACAGACGCCTCACACAGAGAATTGCTCGACACCATGGTTGAAACATGCATACGGGCATATTCGTCGTGATCCACCTCGAGGGCAAAATAACGGTAGACATCGTAATAACCCCTTGAAGACGGGCACGTCAAAAAAGAGTTCGTGAAAGCTCCCTGTAGCCTACATACTCCTGTCGAACACTAGACAAACAACAAACCCAGTTAGTCTCACGCCTTGCTTGTCCACGAGATCCCCGACACGGTTAAACAGATTACCCCTGACTTAGGTGAATAATTTGTCCCCGTTAGAGTGCTACGTTCTCCATACTCAAGCAAATTCTCCCTAAATGTAAAGTTGAACTTAAGTCATCACACTTTCTCCCAAGGGCAATAACTTGGGGGGCTCCTGATCTGGATTTGGTCGACGCTTGCCTCACCGATGGGGAGGCCCAATCCAACACCTTTTCACAAGGCCCAAAAGCGAACAACCCAAGTTAGGCACCGTTGGGAAACTTCCCATATATCTGTTAGGGAACATGGCCCACATGCTCTTATGGTCACCACCTTCCTGCCCTCCGAGAATACCGGGTCCAGCTCCTGCTTTCTCGGGGCAGCCAACCAGGGGGAGGCCATGTGCTGGCCTCCATACACACGTAAGCCCTGACAGTCTTCTTTATTGGGCCTCATCGTGACCTAACATGGGAGACCTTGGCCCAGTACTAGGGGCTATAAATATCCTCTCACTTGAGAGGGCCAGGTATTCAAACATTCTTACTCACTCTCACTTGCTTGCATTATTCCGAATCTCACTTTGACATCAGAGTATCTTGCAGGTACCTCCATCTCACTTCCAACATCTGCTCGACGTAAGGCTGTGACGATCCATTCTGGTCAGGTACGATCATTTATCAAACACTCAAACCTATTTATTAGTTATTAATCATCAACTATAAGATATCAGTTATCAATTACTAGTTATGTGCTATCAACTATCAATAATTTACTATCAACTATCAATTACTAATTAATTTTACTAAACTGAGTCTTATATTTACGATCCATTAATAATTTTTACCAATAAATATATTCTTTCATTATAAATGTTTTATTAATCATTAATAATTTTTTTGTTTAATTTTTCCAAACAAAACTTTAGATTTAGTAAAATGTATATAAATGTGAATTGGAAAAAATATTAATGACTAATAAAACATTTATTGGTAAAAAACATCAATAATAAAAAGAATATGTAAATTAGGAAAAAATTACTTCCATATATAAATCTTCTTTATTTTCTATTAAAAGTTTTAGAACTCTAACTTTATTTATTTTCTGATAAGAAATATCATTAATATTTTTATAATGAATCAAAAATACTTTATTGTTAACATATTATAACAACAAGACATGAAAATGTATTTCTCAATTAATTCAAAATTAATCATAATACATTCATTACATTTTAAATAAAAATTATATAATTATTATATTATATCTTTTGAAATTCTGATATTAGATATGTAATGTCGAATGAGATACCACGACATAAATATCTGTTTGCAAGTAAAGTGCAGTAAAAACACAAGAGATTGTTCACCCAATTAAGTGTACAACAACACCTACTCTGAAAGCTACCAAGCCAGAGACAAGTCCACTAAATAGTATCAATTCATAGATCCTCAGTAAACAATCAATTTACGATCTAATCACTTAAGAACTGCCCGTGTTATACTTCTACCTAAGACTCACCTAGGTATGAGCCCCTCCTCGAATTCCTTCAATCACTTACAGTGAAGAAACAACAGAAATAATAAGTTTGAAAGACTTCAATCATTCAATGCTTAAAAGCTTATGAATGATACACAATTAACAATCCAAATAACAACTCAAATATTAAACCAATACTTAGAATGTATTAAAAATAAAAAGCGTTAGACTTCTAAAACAGAAATAAAATATTCTTCTTCAAAAGTTGTTTGTTTTTTAATAAAAAAGTAAGTCCTTATATATGCGCAGTTGTGGGCTTGGGCTTAAAAACTAAGTATTCAATTCTTTTGAATATTTCCATAAAACAGGCCAAGATAAAATCCATGCAATTTGAAAAATATTCCTCCATATTTTTCGCAGCCTGTGAGTCATAAATCCTGAATAATAGCGCGCATGAAAACAGAAAACATAAATTATGTTGGGCTGAGATCAGTTCAGGAGGCAGATGTCAAGGCATCTGCTTTGACATTATTCAAAACAGTTTTGCTTCAAATGTTAAGATATTTAGAAAAATATTATCCAGTCATTGTTTTACCAAAATTGTTGTCAATAAACACTTACATCTTCTATTAAGGGTGTTCAAAACCAAACTGGCCCAATAGAAAATCGCAAAACTGAACTGAATCAAACCGAAATCGCAAAAAACATATTTGATTTGGATGTGTTTGAGTAATTTTCTAATGGAACCGCGCAGTTTAGTTCGGTTTGCGATTTGTATTTTGCAAACTGAACCAAACCAAATCAAACCACATTATATTATTAATTCTTACTAACCAATATATATTTCTTTAATTCTTTAGAGAAATCAACATGTATTATGTGTATATTTTATCATGTTTTTTGTATGATATTTTTTTTAATTTACAAATCATACAAAATGAAATATTATTCATTTATAAATATATTTTTTATAAAATATATTTTATCGTATTATTTGTATAATATTTATTTAAGAATGTAATTTTATGTATATCATTATTTAGATTTAGATAAAATTATAATACGCAATTTTATGTATTAAATTCTAAATTTATTTAGATAATTATAAATTTTTTTATGATAATGTATGAAAGATTAAACACAAAATTATATTTTTCTCTATATGTGTATGTATGGCTCAATAATTTTTTTGTAAAAAACAGAACCAACCAAACCAATTCAATCCGCGTTAATTTGATTTGGTTTGGTTCAGTTTTATTTTTAAAATTCAATCAAATCAAACCGAACCGCACATAAGTAATTTTTTACATCAAAAACCGTTGAAACCGCACCACGAACACTCCTATCTTCTATGATGCTATTTTTCTAAATTAATAAAAAGATATTGTATTTTAAAAAAATATTTCTAAATTACTTATAGAATATTATTAGTTTTTAAATTTTTTTTATTAAAGTAAGAAAATACATAATTATATTTTTTTATAGAAAAATAATCAATATTTTAAATTAAATAGTAAAAAGTATATAAATGTGAATTGGGCAAAAACTATTAATGACTAATATAACATTTATTTGTAAAACATCAAAAGTAAAAAAAAATGTATATAAGTGTAAATTAGGAAAAAATATTACTTCCATATATAAATCTTATTTAAGTATTTTCTATAAAAAAGTTTTAGAACTTGACATTTTTTATTTTCTAATAAAACATATCATTAATACTTTTATAATGGATCAAAAGTAATTTATTCTTAACATATTTATAACCACAAGAGACGAGAATATTATTTCTCTATTTATTAAACAACCTTTCTCAATTAACTCAGAATAAATCATAATATATTCATTACATTTTAAACAAAAAATATAATTATTACATTATATCTTTTATTCTCCATTTTTCTAAATTAATATAAAAATTATTGTATTTATAAATCTTTCTAAATTACTCATAAAACATTATTAGTCTTTTAATTTTTTCATAAAGTAAGAAAAATATATAATTAGTATGTTTTTATTTGTTGGCAGGAAAATAATTAATATTTGGTTCAGTCAAAAATAAAAAAGCAGAAAACCGTCAAACATATTAAAGGAAAAAAATCTTAATTATTCCAGCGCGTGATTTTTAAGTTAAGGTGTCTTATAAGTTTATAACCCAAAACAACGAGCCGGCCAACCCAACACAAAACAAGTGCCTCTCTCTCTCTCTCTCTCTCTCTAACTTTTCTTCTTCCATTCCCAAACAACACCTAACCCTATCATCCCCTACAAAAAAAAATTAAATAATCAAATCAAATAGATAAATAAAAATCTGACAATATTCGAGAATAATACCCACCAACGTATCTTCCATTCTATTTTTCCTTTTTTATTTTCTTACACCTTCATCACTTGTTTCTATAACCATTCCCAATACCGAAACACTTTGACAATTTCCCAAACTAGAAATACAAAAACCTAACAATCTCAATTACATAACAAAACCCTAATCCAATTCCGATCATGGCCGCCACCACCACCAGCCTAGGCGGAGGCGGAGACGATCGCGTCCTCGCCACGGCTCAACAGATCCTGAAAAGCCTCAAAGCTCCCAAAGAGGATCGCGAAGACATGCTATTGATTTTCTCCACCTTTGATAACCGTCTCTCCGGCATCACTGACCTAATCAACGGCGACGATTCCAAATCCTCCGAAGACGAAGAGCTTGACCGTTTCGAAGCCGCGGAGAAAATCATACTCGATGACTCTTCTACATACACCGAGTCCTCTCGCCAATCGACTTCGCTTTTTGATCCTCCTAATGATCCGGTCGAGTATTTTCTCGCTGTTGATGAGATCATTCACTGGATCGAACATTTCTCGATCTCGCCGCCTGATCATTCGACCGCGAAAACTGATCGGATCATTTTGGATCGCGCTGAGAGCGCGATCCAGCTTGCTATGTCGAGGCTCGAGGATGAGTTTCGTCATGTGCTGATTTGTAATACTATCCCGCCTAACGCTGTTAGCAGATGTAGTACTAACCGGAGGAGTTCACTGTCTTTCAGTTCGCAGGATGGTGGTATAGATGATAATTCTGGGAGTTTTGGTGAGGTAAGTGATGCTGGTTCTAATAGGTTTCATGAACGTGGTGTTAGTCTAGGAGATGATTTGTTTGTGGATTTAGTGCGTCCTGAATCGATTCTGAATCTTAAAGATATTATTGATAGGATGGTTAGGTCTGGTTATGAGAGGGAGTGTCTTCAGGTTTATAGTAGTGTGCGTCGTGATGCTTTGATTGAGTGTTTGACTATTCTGGGTGTTGAGAAGATGAGTATTGAGGAGGTTCAGAAGTTTGAGTGGAAGAGTTTGGATGAGAAAATGAAGCATTGGGTGCAGGCTGTTAAGGCTGTTGTTGGGGTTTTGTTGAGTGGGGAGAAAAGGCTTTGTGATAGTCTTTTTGGTGAGTTCTATGATTTGAAAGATACATGTTTCAATGAAATTGCTAAAGCCTGTGTCATGATGTTGTTGAATTTCGGTGAAGCAGTTGCCATTTGTAAGAGGTCGCCCGAGAAGTTGTTTAGGATATTGGATATGTATGAGGCTTTGAGAGATGCTTTGCCTGATTTGGAGGAAATGGTTTTGGATGACCTTGTGATCACGGAGGCAAAGGGTGTGCTCAAAGGACTTGGCGAGGCTGTAAAAGGGACATTTGCTGAATTTGAGAATTGTATTCGGCATGAGACTTCAAGAAAGCCGGTTATAACTGGGGATGTTCATCCTTTGCCTCGTTATGTTATGAATTACCTGAAACTGCTCGTTGATTATAGTGATGCTATGGATTCACTTTTGGAAATCAGCGAAGAGGCTCTTTATCACTTTAAGAATGATTTGGGGGGTGAGGTTTCACAGTTAGAGGATTTGTCCCCTTTAGGCCGACAAATACTGTTGTTAATGTCCGAACTTGAGCACAATCTTGAGGAAAAATCAAAACTTTATGAAGACATTGCATTGCAGCAGGTGTTTTTGATGAACAATCTCTATTACCTAATGCGCAAAGTGAAGGACTCGGAACTTAAAGATGTCTTGAGAGAAAAATGGATTCGTAAACGCAGCGTAATGGTACGGCAGTACTCTACAGGATACATTAGAGTCTCTTGGAGCAAGGCCTTGTCTTGTTTGAAGGATGCAGGGATTGGAGGGAGCTCTAATAGTGCATCAAAAATGGCTTTGAAGGAGAGGTTCAAGAATTTCAATGCATGTTTTGAAGAAATATACAGGGTTCAGACAGGTTGGAAGGTGCCTGATGAGCAGCTTCGTGAAGAGATGCGAATAGCTATATCTGAGAGGGTGATTCCTGCATACCGCTCATTTGTTGGGAGATTTAGCTGTCAGCTGGAAGGAAGACATTCAAGCAAATACATTAAGTATACGGAAGAGGATCTAGGGGCTTATTTATTACATTTGTTTGAAGGATCCCCTACTGTATTACATCACATAAGGAGAAAGAGTTGATAGTATATTATAAGATAAGATAAGATGGTTTTGACAGGTGAACTCATTTTATCAGGATTAGTTGAAAAAGTTTTTATGTGTCATGTGTAAACTATCTATCTTCTACCTGGATAGCTGTTTATTTTACAGGACTTAATGTTAGAGTTGGATTTTTCTCCTGCGAATACTGAAATATCTCGTGTATATATTCATAAGTCTAGTGTCTTGCTCAACTTATTTATGCTGTTATCGGTAATCACTGTCCGTGTGGAAATATTATTCATACCGTCATATAGTACTTATAGTTGTTGCCTTGATTGAGTTTTGATCTCATGTAATTACATATCTTCAATTTGCATAATTTTCAGTTTTCTATATGAAAGAACTGTGTTTTTCTTACCTGACCTGACAGATTCCATGTTATTTGCATGTATCTTATGTTTACCTGACCAGAAATTGGATCTAAACAAAATATTAGATGATTGTCAATGTTTGATTACAAAATATTAGATGATTGTCAAAATTTAAATGTTTGATTATCCCAGAATCAATCAAATAGATCAACACTTAATATGACATTGTCTGAAAATCTGCCATATTGGTTTGTTGAAAGTTATGAGCAACTGCAGAAAAAATGTTATCTGTTGATACATTTTCTAATCTTGTTTTTTTTTGTTGTCAAATAATCTTGCATTGCAGGGTTAGATGCCACATTTTATGGGCCTATTATATTGTAATTAGTAGCTCCAGCTATATGGATATGCTAATTTTGTGTGGCACTGGCTTACCATATATTAAATCTGCAAGAGAAACAAACTCAGGAAGGTTTGCATTTATTTTGGGAATTCAGCTCTCAATTAAGCATACTTGTTACTGTCGTATGCCCCTTGAATTCAGCTCTCAATTAAACATATTCTTTACTGTCATATGCCTCTGCACTCAGACATCCTGATATTATCAGTGATCATATATACACATACAAGTACAACAAAATTTATCTGACCAAGTGGATTTGGCTTATAATAATAATAATAATAATAATAATAATAATTATTATTATTAATAATAGATTTTGTTAGTTAATATTATCAGGCAAAATTATTATTGGTAGATTAAGAGAAAGTTTGTGATCATCTTATGGATTCGAAAAAATGAAAATAGAGGCAGCGTTGAAATTCAAGAAGAGAAAAGAAATAATAACATCTCAAGATTAAACGGAAATCATAAGTGAAAATGAAAGGTAAAATGATACATAAGTAAACACTAGGAAAAATAAATCAGATATAAACATATAGAACCAAAAAGGACCTGAAATTTTGTTAGCCGAGATTTCGACGCTAAGAAGCAAATTAAAATATCAAGAAATTTTGGAAAATTACTTGGAGAAATTAAGCTAAGTTCGTGATATTTTCAATTAGAAAGTTTTGGTGAAGACTTCGACAGACATTGGGTGAAGAGGTTTCATTTCTTCAGCATGACACTCTTTTAAGATTTAGAATATTTTAGACTTAGTTTGAAGGCAATTTCGACGAAGTAATTTGAAATAAGGCAAGTTAACCGTTTTTCAATCTTATCCATTCTTGAAAGACATGTGGAAGCGCTTATGAAGGGCGAAATACATACAAGCAAGAATATGTCATTCTCTGAAGAAGAGACTGTTCGTTATGAATTATAAATAGGGGTCTTAGTATCATGATTCAGGGTGTTTTCAATTTGTATTAAAACTCACATTACTCAAAGTATCTAAGTGTATTGAGAAAAGAGTCGTTGAGTGGAATGTACGTATGAATCACCATATCTTTTTCATTCAATATCAAGTTATTTACATTAATACTATTTTCTTGCACTTTAAGTTCCAGTCGAAGTCATTTTACATTCTTTTATATTTTATAAATCTTTCTTGCATTACTTTAAAGATTCATATTAGTGTCGAAATCTTTATTATCAAGAAATCTTAAGAAACCTATGCTCATATGTCCTAGGATACATCTAGTCGATCCCGCGAGTAATCAAAATATCATCTTTTAGAGGACTAGCGGTTGTTTACCAAATCGACTGTAAACAAATTGGCAGACTCGGTGGGAGCTCTGTGCTTAGTTGTTTTGATTTTTTGTTGCATTAGTTCTTCATATATAAAAACTTCTCAAACTTTGTTGCATGAGATTGAGAAGTGGAAGGATAGCCAGAAATATCGAAACTTTACCAAATAGGAAATACGTTAGGAAAATGGTTAATCCACTGAATAATAATGAGGAGCAACCCTCTCATATGACAGGGGAAATCACTGCCGCAACGATTGTGACTGAAGCGATACCCTCTATGATTAATACGACGACCATACCATCAAGTACACAGAGTGGACCAATATTATCCCCAACAAGAACACAGGGTCACCCAACTCCAAGACCAATGATGTCAAGCGATTTCAAGCTATATAAGCATGGTTCACAATGCCTATGAATGGTCGCGAACAACCATACGGTATGCTAACTTCGGTGATGACATGTTTGCATATTAGTGCATCGATATTTGCTGACCCAAAGGTAATTACATATTAACCATTGCAAGGGCCGGGATCAACTATTAACAATTATGGTCGAAATACCCAACCCTTGGGAATAAGATTTTCTGCCCAACCAATGTCCAATTCTACCACAAATTATATGGCAATGTTGAGGCAATAAATAGATGAAAGCAACCATGAAATGGTCAGTATGCTTACCCAATAGATGGGTACGATATTTGAGCCTTTAATACAAAGTACTAACCAAACCAATCAGCAAAACGCCCGTACTAATCAATAATGGGCACCGCAAATAACATAATTGCAGATTTCTTTGGTGCTTTACAGGCACCAGTTCGACGTGTCGCATAACCACGACCAACATGGCTTGTGGAAAACCAAAGAGCGATTTTAGTAGAACATACTGTTAATTAGACCCAACAGTTTGCACCCAATGCGGTCGAAGTTACCCAGGGCCAATAGATCGATCCCCACATGGTCCAACAGCCAGCGCCTAGGGAAGTCGAATTTCCCAGGGTTGGTTTGGTCAATTATGGCCAAGATGCAGATAAGGTGGTTCACCGAGTTCCACATGATGATTTAACAGGAGAGAATAATTTAACTGCCATGGTCGAAAGAATAATGGCACGAAATGGGGTAAATATAGACCTTCGTAGGCCAAACTACACTTCCTCATTGTCTGAATATGTCTTATAAACTGACTTGCCTAGGAGATGGAAAGTTCCAAAATTTACAAAATTTTTGGATACTAACAAGTCTACTGTCGAACACATATCAAGATATCTGACTGAGGCTGGGGAAATTGATAACAATGAAAATTTGAGAATAAGATATTTTCCCAGTTCCCTCACCAAGAATGCTTTTACTTGGTTCACCATACTCCTAGTGAATCTCATTCATGATTGGACTCGTTTTGAGAGGATGTTTTATAAATAATTTTATATGGGGAAGTCAAAGATCAGTCTAAAGGAATTGGCTAGCATTAAGCATAAGTTTACTGAGTCACTAGATGATTATTTGAATAGGTTCAGATTGCTAAACACAAGATGTTTCACACAAGTGCATGAGCATGATATAGTTAAAATTAGGGGTGTTCAAATCCAAAATCCAAATAAAAAACCGAAAACCGATCCAAAAAATCGAAAACCATAAAAAATCGAAAGTTATTGGTTGTGTTTGGATGTTATTTTATGAAAACCGATCGGTTCGGATTTGATTTCAGATGAATTTTTCAAAACCGATCCAAACCAAACCGAACCGCATAAATATATTTTGATACTTATTTACTTTTTATTAGTATGACATGTTATGTGAATTTATTATTAGATGATAATAATTTTTTTAATAATATTTATTAGTTTGGTATAATCTATTTATTTTTATTATTTCAAGCATAATCAATCACTCTCATTTTGTAATATTAACTTTTAATATACTATATGTTATATATTATATCAAATCTATGATTTATTAGTAGTTTTATAATATTAATAAAAATATAATGTGTAATTTGGATATCCAAAAATCGATCCAAATTAAACCGCATAAAATTGGATCGGATCAGATTGGATTTTTTTAAATATATCATCTAAAACCGAACCGAACCTTAAGTGAATTAATCTTTAGACCGGATGCGTTTTTGCTTTAAAACCGATTCAAACCGAACCGCGAACACCCCTAGTTAAAATGGATACTGGTTGTTTGGATTATTCCATTAGGAAGAAACTAGATACCTAGTACTTGAGGGATATAGCCCAATTAGAAGACAAAGTCGGACAAGTGGAGCGCTTGAAGGCTGAAAAGGCCAGGGCAAATAAGAATAATAGAAGAGAGAGTGGCCTATGTTAACAAGGATGAAGATGATCAAGAGATCAAGATCCATGATAGTGGTTTCAACGAAAATGAAATAAATCGAGAGTTTTCACCGAAATGAAGACCAGATGAGGGTTTCTTATCCCGAGACTGATGAGAATCTGATCGAGTTCCAATGATGATGTGCCCTAAGTGCAGCTTCATGTTCGACATGAAGGAAATTGAAAATCTGGAAAATGTTTGAATGGCCTGTTACAGAGGAAATTGGAAGGATTCCAAGAGTCAGTACATCTTCGACAAGAGAGGAGTTCCTTTCATACAATAATAAAAAGGCCCAAATCTCCAGGCGAACAAGCCAACCACATTCAAACCAACTATTGATGCCCTAAGGGGTAAATGGGTGAGGCCCGCTGAGAGAGGAAATCAAGCTCAACAAAAATGAAGAACCTAGATTATTGGAATTTTGACGCCAAGAACAAACTAAGATATCAAGAAAGGTTGGAAAAGTACTTGGAGAAATTAAGCTAAGTTCGTGATATTTTCGACTAGAAATTTTTGGTTAAGACTTCGACAGACATTGGGTGAAGAGGTTTCATTTCTCCAGCATGACACTTATTTGAGACTTAAAATATTTTGGACTTAGTTTGATGGAAATTTCGACGAAGTTATTTAAAATAAGGCAAGTTAACTGTTTTTTGGTCTTATCCCTTCTTGAAAGACATGTGGAAGCGCTTATGAAGGGCGAAATACATGCAAGCGAGAACATGTCATTCTCTGAAGAAGAGATTGTTCGTTATGAATTATAAATAGAGGTCCTAGTATCACAATTCAGGGTGTTTTCAATTTGTATAAAAACTCACATTACTCAAAGTATCTAAGTGTATTGAGAAAAGAGTCATTGAGTGAAATGTACATATGAATCACCATATCTTTTCATTCAATATCAAGTCATTTACATTAATGTTATTTTCCTGCACTTTAAGTTCCAGTCGAAGTCATTTTACATTCCTTTATATTTTATAAATCTTTCTTGCATTACTTTAAAGATTCATGTTAGTGTCGAAATCTTTATTATCAAGAAATCTAATAAACCTATACTCATATGTCCAAGAATACATCTAGCCGGCCCAACAAGTAATCAAAATATCATCTTTTGGAGGACAAGCAGTTGTTTACCAAAATCGACGATAAACAAATTGGCACACTCGGTGGGACTTTTGTGCTTAGCTGTTTTGATTTTTTGTTGCATTAGTTCTTCATATATAAAAACTTCTCAAACTTTGTTTCATGAGATTGAGAAGTGGTAGGATGGCCAAAAATATTGAAACTTTACCAAAAAAGAAATACGTTAGGAAAATGGTTAACCCACCGAATAATAAGGAAAAGCAATCCTCTTATACGATAAGGGAAAGCACAACCGTAATGATTGTGACTGAAGCGATACCCTCTATGATTAGTACGACGACCATACCATCAAGTACGCAGAGTGGACCAATATTATCCCCAACAAGAACACTAGGTCACCCAGTTCCAAGACCAATAATGTCGAGTGGTTTCAAGCCCTATGTGAATGGGTGCACAATGCCTATAAATGGTTGCGAACAACTATACGGTAT